GCCGAGTCTGTCTCGTTCTAAGTTCCCCATCACTCTAAAGCGATAATTCTGAAGATCGGGCGGAACGGTCTGTAAGCATGGTCACTGATAAAGGTGTTCAATTCGTGATGAAATTGTCAGACATTCGTGTTGATGTGACTGGAAGAAAAGGACCCCAGGCCCAAAACGTCTTTGCCCAGTCGACTTCCTCTGTGATAACCCCAACGGACGAAGTACGGCCTCGAAACACTCACATAGCCCACCCTCGAAGGCCCCGAGATGCGCGGGTCGAGAACACAGCAGTGAGCCCTCTTTACGAGCCCTGCTAAACGGCCGAGCGACTTTCCCGATATGCAACCAGCGGGCCCTACCCCAGATCTGTTCAGCGGCATCTTGCTTGACCCGAATGTCGGTAGTCAAATGTCGCTGATAAACCTCGATGAGACAGACTATAACTTGGCCAGTGCGCTTACAGAATGGGGAGATAATATGGCCTTGCCAGACCTCTATCCGCCCCAATCGACCCCCATTTCATATCAGGAGATCTCGTACTCGCCGTCCGTTGTTCCGAACTCCATTCAATCGACAGGCCAGTCTGCCATTTCGACAGACGACGAAGAGACCATATGCTACGGAATGGTGAGTGACCGCCACTTCACTTTAGCCGTGCTCTCCGACCTCTCTAACTTGGGATGCGATTCACCCGCGCTAGCTGCACGACGTCGATGTTAAGCTAGTAGGCGAGATGCGAACCACGGATGCCAATCTCGGCGAAAGCGAGGCCGGCTACAGGCGCTTCGAGCTCTGCGAGCAGCAAGACCACATCATCCTGTGCTTCCACAATGACGGCAAGGAATTTGGTTACCTGCGCTCCGGTGTAGGTAAGACACTGGCACCGCTGCTGGCCAAGCCATATGTCGAGTTCGAGCCTATCACGCTCACATCTAACTTGAAGCTGGCTAAGCCCGCTGAGGCCATAGTGAAGGTTGACATCAACGTGTACGGGCCGCGGCGGGCCGCGGATGAGGTGGGTAACGCGCTTTCACGCGGCAAGCTGTGGCTACAAAAGTCGGGCCATGCCAGGCGTGAAGTTGCATACGATAACCCACACTTTCTGCCTCTCAAGGTCCATGGCATTCAAATGCAGGCAGTTCAGCCTGTGAGTCAAATTGTCAAGGATGGGCTCGTTAAAAAGAAGCACCGGGAGGAGCGGATGCGAAAGATGGTCGAGGAGGTGTACAAGTCTCTGGACAACACTCGGCATCTCGACGTGGTGGAGGGTGGAAATAGGATCACCCGGAAGCTACTCAAGTAGGCCCTTCTTTGTTGTAATTGAAGTCTGTTGATTGCTGATCTGCCGCCGCTAGACACCAACAAGAAGCGCTAGGCTTCATGCTGGAGAGAGAATCCGGCCATATCAATGACGGGTACAGGCTTTGGGAGGAGGTCATTTTGGAAGATGGGACGAAAGAGTGCGCCGCTCGTGAATCCAATCCAATGCTCATAGCTAACGTGACGACATCAGGTACCGCCACAGAATCACAAAGGCTAGGGCTAAGCAAGACACTCAGCCAGACGAGAGAGGCGGTGGCATTCTGGCTGATGAGATGGGCATGGGGAAGTCGCTGTCTATCCTTGCCCTAATCGCGAACACCCTTGACGACGGTAAAAACGAGTGGGCTCAGCAGCAGACAGACGGTGCCGAAGGCAAGGAGGCGCTTAGACACTCGCGCTCTACGCTTGTGGTCGTCCCTTCTGCCCAGCGCTGCTCTCAGATCAGTCAGATCAGACAGACCCTCCTGATCTGATCGGATTGATTCCCTCGACCCTTGGACTGGACTGGACTGGATTGAACTGGACTGAACTGACATACAAATGCAGCTATTCGTAACCCTGCTGCCCCTTAATCGATCCCCAATCCGGCCTGCTGCCCTTCATGACTCCTCCGATGACGATATCGCCGTTCCTAAGCCAGTTCTTCAGCATCTGAAGCATCTCGATAGTCTCCCACTTCATTGCATGCCTCTGGGAGCTCAGAGTAAGCCTAGCAATGCTGAAGGACCTCTCGCAGTCAGCTGCCATGGCTGGAATAGCGAGAATGTCAAGGGCCATCTGAGACAGCTTTGGGAACTGAGCCTTATTACTGATTATCAGCATTTGAAACGGAGCTACATCTGCATCCGACCTTCATGTTGTAGTACCGGTCGATCTCGTAATCGACTGGATCTGCATCGGAACTGACTCGATCTGATCTACAAAGGGATCTTTGAGCAGCGTCCTCCCGGCCTAAATCTCGACAGACAGATCGACCCTGAGGCTGGGGGATCATCAGAGCTGCAATACCAGCGGTCAAAGTATTCCTTGAGACCATCTTTCGCAGCAACGAGCCACTCATGTTGTTCGGGATCCCTCCACCGACGCCGCAGCCACCGAAGGCCGAGATTTGGATTCAGAATGATAGCTGCAGTGAACAAAGGGGAATCCGCAAGCTTCGTGTAGTACTCGTCAAGTTTCTTCCAGGCATTGTTGATACTGGCCCGAATGCTGGCCCGCTCTCTAGCTTGGAGTCTAAGCAGACCGTCGCTGTCGGGCATCGTGACGTACTCGTCGCGGGCATGAGAAGGCAGGGCCCCTTCGTTGAAGCGCAGCCGCCGCGTCGATCGAAGCTGCGATAGACTGGTTGGTTGATTACGCGCTAGATCCGCCGAAGCTTCAGCTGCTCGAGCAGCTTCAAGACCGGAATCCTTGTCGTATAGAGTCTTGTAACCTTCAAGATGTCCCAATACATATTCATCCCCCATTAGAACATCTGAAAGTCGACCACTTGTTCCCAGACTGCCCCCATCCCTGGGTCTTTATCGTCAGTTTGTAGAGTGGTTCTAAGATCGTCTTGATCTCGATCAGGGCCTTCCAGTCGTCGGTGGTTAGTTTGTCAGCATCAGGGATCCGCTTGTCACCATCAGATTCAAGATCAAGCTCCAAGATAAAGCTGTTGATATCATCCCTCTTCCTGACAGCCCTCTCGATCATCAGGTAAGTTGAGTTCCAGCGCGTGCTGTTGTCCTGCTTGAGGCCAAGGTCCCAGGTCGGCTCCTCTGACAACAGATAGTCGTCAGAGGTCTGGGCTTCCTTAGCATGCTGTCGGAATGCCTCGGATCGTTGCGGCGACGCCCTGATGAACTTGACGATATTGTGAAGCTTTCCAACAGGTCCCTTTGCTCTCCAATGTGCTAGTTCAGCCTCGTCGTCACTCCAAAGGGAAAGGGTATAAGCATCCCTCTCGAAGCAGGTAGCATCCTGGCCAAAAAGGAAAGCCTGAACAACAAGATTGAGGACATGACCGAAGCATCGCATTCGACGCGCCTTGATATCTCGGTCGGTTATGGTGGGATCGAGGGATCGATATAGGGCCTTGAGGCATGTGTCGTTGTTCCCTGCATTGTCGGCGACGCAGACACCCACCTGCTTCCCAATTCCCCAAGCCTTGAGAATATCCTGGATCGTGAGCGCGATGTAATTCCCAGAATGCTTCCCTAGCTGCCGACGGAAGGCTAGCAACCTGCTCTGGGGCATTTTCTTCTGATTGATGAAGTGCCCAAAGACTGAAATCATGGCTAGGGTTGTTTGGAGAGGTCCAAAGGTCGAAGCTAATATGAATCTGACTGAGGGCTTTCGTCAGGTCAGCCTTGACCGCCATCATCTTCGACTCAAAAACCTCCTTGATATCCCTTCCAATTGTCGATCTACTGTGGAGGGAGCTCTTGGGCGAATCCAGGGTCTAGCTGCTTTAAGAGCTCCTTGATGTAGACGCTCTCAAGAGCAGTAAAGGGCAAGTCGCCGTCGACAATATAGCCTACTAGAAGCTCCCGGGCCCGACTGATCTTCGCTTGTGGAATGCTGGAAGGGGTCGATCGGTTGCTAGCCTCTCGCTGGATGTCAAGGACGGTCATCTCGTTGTCTGGCCGGCTGGGGCTGTCCTCGGCGATGTTGTGGGACCTGTAACCGTTAGCAACGTGATTAGAACAACGGCAAGGGCTATGCTAGCCTTAGAAGGTGTCCCTGCGAGGCCGAGGTTGATTGAGCGCTGAAAAACTGGGGCTTGCCGTAGGCATCGCAGCGTCGACAGCACCAGACATCCTGCTTGACCTTTCCTGTTGTCGTCAGCTCCGTTAGGAACCAACCCTCACGAGTAATCCAGGAACGACGGCCACGGCTCTTCTTCTTGTTTAGAACACCGCTAATGACGAAAGTTCGGCTCCCCCAAACGATCTTGTATGGCTCGTCGGTATGTGTGACGGTTTGCTGCGCAGCTTCGTCGTACTGCTTCGCGATGGTGCGCAGTCGAGATCGAGGGCGGGGGAGGAAGACTGCTGCAACGTTGTTGGCATTGTCTGCAGTAGAGGCTGCGTAGCTGCTCTGTGCAGCAGTCGACATTGCGAGGTTGGGTTAACTTTAACTGGCGAATCGGATCAGCCTCAGTGGTCGTCACACACACGCGCGCGCGTACAAACAGTGGACAGAGCGACGCGCGGAATCCGCAATTTAGCGCTAGACAGGGCTTGTTCTGGCCCGGAAAAAGTAATACCCGACACATTCATCCACCTCTCTATAATTAACACTCAAAATGAAGGGATTCGGTGCCTTGACCAAGGGCCAAAAGTATGGTATAGATAACAATCAGATTATCAGATTTTGTAAGGTGCTCATCTGATCCGACTGATCTGAAGAAATGGCCGATCTGAATCGACTGGACTGCTCTGGATTGATAGATCTGATCTACAATCTGATCTTTGAGCAGCGCTGGCCTAAATCTCGACAGACAGATCGACCCTGAGGCTGGGGATCATCAGAGCTGCAATACCAGCGGTCAAAGTATTCCTTGAGACCATCTTTCGCAGCAACGAGCCACTCATGTTGTTCGGGATCCCTCCACCGACGCCGCAGCCACCGAAGGCCGAGATTTGGATTCAGAATGATAGCTGCAGTGAACAAAGGGGAATCCGCAAGCTTCGTGTAGTACTCGTCAAGTTTCTTCCAGGCATTGTTGATACTGGCCCGAATGCTGGCCCGCTCTCTAGCTTGGAGTCTAAGCAGACCGTCGCTGTCGGGCATCGTGACGTACTCGTCGCGGGCATGAGAAGGCAGGGCCCCTTCGTTGAAGCGCAGCCGCCGCGTCGATCGAAGCTGCGATAGACTGGTTGGTTGATTACGCGCTAGATCCGCCGAAGCTTCAGCTGCTCGAGCAGCTTCAAGACCGGAATCCTTGTCGTATAGAGTCTTGTAACCTTCAAGATGTCCCAATACATATTCCATCCCCATTAGAACATCTGAAAGTCGACCACTTGTTCCAGACTGCCCCCATCCCTGGGTCTTTATCGTCAGTTTGTAGAGTGGTTCTAAGATCGTCTTGATCTCGATCAGGGCCTTCCAGTCGTCGGTGGTTAGTTTGTCAGCATCAGGGATCCGCTTGTCACCATCAGATTCAAGATCAAGCTCCAAGATAAAGCTGTTGATATCATTCCTCTTCCTGACAGCCCTCTCGATCATCAGGTAAGTTGAGTTCCAGCGCGTGCTGTTGTCCTGCTTGAGGCCAAGGTCCCAGGTCGGCTCCTCTGACAACAGATAGTCGTCAGAGGTCTGGGCTTCCTTAGCATGCTGTCGGAATGCCTCGGATCGTTGCGGCGACGCCCTGATGAACTTGACGATATTGTGAAGCTTTCCAACAGGTCCCTTTGCTCTCCAATGTGCTAGTTCAGCCTCGTCGTCACTCCAAAGGGAAAGGGTATAAGCATCCCTCTCGAAGCAGGTAGCATCCTGGCCAAAAAGGAAAGCCTGAACAACAAGATTGAGGACATGACCGAAGCATCGCATTCGACGCGCCTTGATATCTCGGTCGGTTATGGTGGGATCGAGGGATCGATATGAGGGCCTTGAGGCATGTGTCGTTGTTCCCTGCATTGTCGGCGACGCAGACACCCACCTGCTTCCCAATTCCCCAAGCCTTGAGAATATCCTGGATCGTGAGCGCGATGTAATTCCCAGAATGCTTCCCTAGCTGCCGACGGAAGGCTAGCAACCTGCTCTGGGGCATTTTCTTCTGATTGATGAAGTGCCCAAAGACTGAAATCATGGCTAGGTTGTTTGGAGAGGTCCAAAGGTCGAAGCTAATATGAATCTGACTGAGGGCTTTCGTCAGGTCAGCCTTGACCGCCATCTATCTTCAAACTCAAAAACCTCCTTGATATCCCTTCCAATTGTCGATCTACTGTGAGGGAGCTCTTGGGCGAATCCAGGGTCTAGCTGCTTTAAGAGCTCCTTGATGTAGACGCTCTCCAGAGCAGTAAAGGGCAAGTCGCCGTCGACAATATAGCCTACTAGAAGCTCCCGGGCCCGACTGATCTTCGCTTGTGGAATGCTGGAAGGGGTCGATCGGTTGCTAGCCTCTCGCTGGATGTCAAGGACGGTCATCTCGTTGTCTGGCCGGCTGGGGCTGTCCTCGGCGATGTTGTGGGACCTGTAACCGTTAGCAACGTGATTAGAACAACGGCAAGGGCTATGCTAGCCTTAGAAGGTGTCCCTGCGAGGCCGAGGTTGATTGAGCGCTGAAAAACTGGGGCTTGCCGTAGGCATCGCAGCGTCGACAGCACCAGACATCCTGCTTGACCTTTCCTGTTGTCGTCAGCTCCGTTAGGAACCAACCCTCACGAGTAATCCAGGAACGACGGCCACGGCTCTTCTTCTTGTTTAGAACACCGCTAATGACGAAAGTTCGGCTCCCCCAAACGATCTTGTATGGCTCGTCGGTATGTGTGACGGTTTGCTGCGCAGCTTCGTCGTACTGCTTCGCGATGGTGCGCAGTCGAGATCGAGGGCGGGGGAGGAAGACTGCTGCAACGTTGTTGGCATTGTCTGCAGTAGAGGCTGCGTAGCTGCTCTGTGCAGCAGTCGACATTGCGAGGTTGGGTTAACTTTAACTGGCGAATCGGATCAGCCTCAGTGGTCGTCACACACACGCGCGCGCGTACAAACAGTGGACAGAGCGACGCGCGGAATCCGCAATTTAGCGCTAGACAGGGCTTGTTCTGGCCCGGAAAAAGTAATACCCGACACATTCATCCACCTCTCTATAATTAACACTCAAAATGAAGGGATTCGGTGCCTTGACCAAGGGCCAAAAGTATGGTATAGATAACAATCAGATTATCAGATTTGTAAGGTGCTCATCTGATCCGACTGATCTGAAGAAATGGCCGATCTGAATCGACTGGACTGCTCTGGATTGATAGATCTGATCTACAATCTGATCTTTGAGCAGCGCTGCTTCTGCCCGTACGCGGCCCTCCTTTTTCTTCAGAAGGGAGACCTGGGACTGACTTGACTAGTTCTCATCGATAACTGGATGAACGAAATAAAAAAGTATCTGTGGTGGTTTTGGATTTTGCAGTAGTATCATCACTAACCAAATACATAGGCACTTGAAAGAAGGGCTTGAAGTAGTCAAATATCACGGCCCCGGCCGACCGAAGGATCTCGACACAATCTTAGACTCAGACATCGTTGTAACAACATACAACACACTCATTGCCGAGTTTCTAATCAAGTCAAAACCCTCCCTCCTCCACCGAATCGGCTGGTACCGAGTCGTCCTCGACGAAGGCAAGCCCCAACCGCCCTTCTCACTTCCCCAGAACACACCTGACAGCATGACCTTCAGCGCACATCATCCGCCGCTCCGCCACCGCCTTCTACCGCGCCTGCGACGACCTCCACGCCAACTCACGATGGTGCCTGACCGGCACGCCCATCCAAAACAAACTCGCCGACATCGGCGCGCTCTTCGCCTTCATCCGCGCCGAGCCCTTCACGCGAGCGTCCGTCTTCCGCAAGTGGATCGAGATCCCCTTCGAGCAGAGCCTCGAGAACTCGACCGCCGTCAAGAACCGCCTGGTGATGCTCCTCGAGGCGCTCTGCCTCCGCCGCACCAAGGACGCCGTCCAGCTGCCGGGGCTCCGCCAGCGCATGCGCACCCTCGAATTCTCCCCCGCCGAGCGCGAGCAGTACGAAAACACCAAAAAGACCCTCGCGCGTACCATCCGCCAGCGCGCGGGGGGAGCCGAGAAGAGCTCCAAGTTTGGGCTGTTCCAGGCGAACTTGCAGATGCGCCTGTTGTGCAACCACGGCACGTTCCAGAAGCCCTTCTCGTGGCACAGCCGCAGCCCGCTGGACGAACGCGAGGTGGTCGTCTCCGCGCTGGGCCAGACCGGCGAGATCACCTGCTCTGTCTGCCAGCTGCCCATGCCAATTCTGGGGTCCAGCTGGCTGGGCAACGGCTTTGGCGCGCAGTGCGCTCATGTTCTCTGCGCCGAGTGCATCGAGGAGTCGAGCGTGCCGGGCGCTGGGGGGCCGACGCAGCAGTGTCCGGTATGTGTGCGATGGCGTACACAGGCGCGGGCTGGGGGTGGTGGTGTCGCCACTGAGGACGTGGCCATGCCGGACTGGTCGGCCGGGGAGGCGGTTGAGGATAATGATGATGACCACTATTTTAGCGCCGGGGGCCACTCGACGAAAATGCTGGCGTTGGTCGAGGATGTTAAGAAAGACCTGATGACGACAAAGAGGTATCCCCCATACCCCCCCGTTTCCCACCGGAGAGCGCAACATGTGTGTCTAACGGGAATAGTATTATATTCTCCTGCTGGACTAGAACGTTGCACCTGCTTTCCAAGCACCTAGACCGAGCCAACATTCCTTACCTCCGCATCGACGGCGGGTGTCCCGTCCCGCAACGACAGGCCAAGCTCGACCAGTTTTCCGAAAGCGATGAGAAGCGAGTGCTGGTCATGACGACTGGAACGGGTGGATTCGGGTACGCTGGATGCCTTGGTAGTTCCCTAAAGACTCCAGCATACGTGATATTGACAAGCTCGCAGACTGAACCTGACCTGCGCTAACCGTGTCTTCATCATCGAGCTGCAGTGGAATCCTGGCGTAGAGAGCCAGGCCATTGCGCGCGCCGTCCGGTTGGGGCAGGAGAACGAGGTATACGTGACACGTTACGTGATCCGGGACACCGTGGAAGAGGTTTGTTCTCCCGTGACTCTTGCAAGCTCACGGTTCGTATTGACAGTATATAGGAAATGAGGTCCCAGCAGCGGTGGAAGATGCAGGTCGCGGCTTTAGGATTTGAAGAGGCGCCGGATGTGATTGATGATGAAGAGAGAGTGTCCTAGTAGGTAGGTAGGTACTTACATAGGTATTTGAACCTTCTTTAGTTCCCATCGTTAGTTTGAGGAAGAGATGTAGTTTTTATTTCCAAAACAGACCAACAAGCTCCCAGCTGTTTACATGTTGCAGCATGTCTCACACTCTGTCAAAATGTCAAATGGCTACCCAGGTAATTTCTGGCCCGTCCGGAAGTTGGTCTTCTCGCTGCCTCCAAGGAGCATAGCACCAACTCCCTGGGCGCTTCTAACTTCCTTGCCGTATTGGATACATGTAGGCAACGTCTGACACTGGCAGCACGTATCAATGCATACAATGACAAGGGCAGTCTTGCGGACTAATCACCTCTCGCCTTCCGCCCGTTGTCTACCTATCTCTGAGCTTCCCGTCCTTGCCGACCTGTCATTGGCATTGCAGACATGGAGACCGGTAGAGCTTAGAGACAGGGATAGCCTCGAGAGAGTTTGAAAATGCTGGGCATGAGCAAATTTGTTCACTTGTGGCTCAACTGCGCCTGTGGATGACTCCAATGTTGCCAGCACAGCATAAGGGACAGTATGGCCTCGAGGGAGTTTGAAAATGCTGTGCAAGCAACTGGATACTACGGCTGCCAGCAACACAGAAGGCCCCCGCGTGGGGCAGGATGGCCTCGAGAGAGTTTGAAAATGCTGTGCAAGCCACGGATGCGAGTGTTGCACAAAACGGGTGGCTGAAGATACGCTATTGCGGGTCAACGACAGGGGCTTATTGGGCCCACCAAACTGGGCCCAATGCAGCGTTTCTGAGGGCACAGAGGCTCTCCTTTTCTTCCAGTCACATCAATCAGACTGTCAGACAATTGCATAACGAATTGAAGCCTCGTATCAGTGACCTTGCTTGCACTACGTTGCGCGCCCTGTTCAGAAGTATTGCTACTCTGGCTGTTGGATTTCCAACAGCGAGCGCAAGACCCCATGTAAGCCCCCGCACTAGGGTGTGGGGACAGGACGGCCTCGGGGCTGTGTAAAAATGCTGTGAAAGTTGAGCCTCCGAACCACCGGGTAGAACTCAGGTGGCCTCCTACCACACCGGAATTAGTGGAACCACACAGGCGAATGGACCACTTGGCCCTTGGGTGCCGACTGCTGAGTGGATGCCACCAAGATATGGGAGGCATCCCATCGTCGCTGTTAAACCAATGAGACATGCTGTGTTATGCCGCTGTTGATTGCATGTAGGTACCGAGTTCACAATTCCCTACTCGCAGCCTTGGGAGTGACGATGCGGTCCCTTCTACCTTTCTAGGTAGATTCGACAATCCGAGGTCATGGACGAGAAAACTCCGATCCCCGGCAGACAGAAACGGCAGCGGCCTATGTCCCATGATGGGGACCGACCTGGCCTGTCGCAGCGCAAGAGGATTCAGGAGAGCACGCCTGGTCCCCTGCTGTGCACATCATGTACACTCATGTTCTCCCACCAGGGCTTGGAACATCTCAACTCACCGAGCGGCTTCCGCCACTGGACCCGCGCCGAGTGCACAGCTTCCGGAAATGAAGGCTGCGGATTGTGCAAGTTTATCTCGCTCATTGTCCACGAAGAACACGATAGGAGTTGGGGCGAGTGACGATCGCCTCATATTTCGGAATTTCCGAAGTACAAAGTCAACAAGCAACACTTCTAGCATTCAGCTGCCTGGCATCTATGCGCTCAAAGGCATCCTCGAATCTGATCCCGAGACATGCATCATCACCATCTATCCATTTGCCAAGAAAGGCAAGCATTTTCTTTAATTATCATCCATCGTACGAGGTGACGATAATAGCGCCTAACGAGACCCAAGTAGCCCTATTGGAGATATTGTCCGCCGAAGGCCTCTCCGCAGAGATGTGCGAAGTAGCAACGTGTTTGCGGCAGCACAATCCCTCATAAAAGAGTGTATGAGTCCCGAGAAGCCTCACAAACAATGCTGGTACTCGCGAGACACTGTGCTTCCGACTCGCGTTCTCGACGTCGGCAAGCCTGGGGACCCTCATCCAACAATTCAGCTCAAGGTTAACGACACGGAAACAAACGCACCATATCTCGCTCTGAGCTACTGCTGGGGGAAGCAACCCAAGCCCACGGCGCCAGTCCAGCCGCTTCTACTGCGGAGAGATAATCTTGAGGATTTTGTGAGTGAAATCAAGCTCGAGAGTCTCCAGCAGTCCATACAGGACGCTATCTTCGTCACTCGCAAGATCGGTTTTCGCTATCTTTGGGTTGATGCGCTGTGCATCATCCAAGATTGCAAGATCGACAAAGGCAGGGAAATTTCCCAGATGGCGTCCATTTACAAGAATGCTGCCATAACCATTGCGGCGTCTTGTTCTGAGAGCGCCATGGATGGGTTTCTTTCCAAGAGCATCAGACCTTACCGACCAAACTACGAGCTCCCCGTTCTTATGTCCAATGGGCAGAGAGATACTGTGTATCTTTCGGCGGAAGCATACGAGCCCGAGCACCCTCTAGACAAGAGAGGCTGGACGCTGCAGGAATTCATGCTGTCATCAAGAATGCTCATATTTTCCGACTACGAGCTTCTCTGGCAATGTAAAGAAGTGGATCTCCGGGGCGTTACCGGCACAGGACTCGAATATCTACAACCCTTGGAGGCTCTACCGTGGACGGTCTTTGACGATGACGCGGAGCCTGCGTTTGGGAATCTTGACTCGGACAAGCTCTACCTCTGGAAAACCATTGTCCAACAGTACACGGAACGCACACTGACAGTCCCAGACGATCGACTTCCGGCAATCCAAGGGATCACGAACGAGCTCGAGGTACTCTGGCGCGACACGAACGTCTACGGGCTCTGGAGGAAATGGTTCATACAACTCCTGACGTGGTACAAACCACAGGTTGACAGAGAGCGGAAGCGGTGCCTCGGGCGGGCGCCCAGCTGGTCATGGGCGTCTCTCGACGGCGTGATCCGCTACGAGGGGACCCTCTCGACTGAAGATGCCAAAGTCAAGTTGCTGACGGTATCAACTGCAGAGCTGGATTGCCGAATGCTGGAGGAGGACGAGGTAAATTATGAGAAGATTCATACCATCTTGGAGCGGCCAGACCTGGTGGATCCAAGTGCTGAACTCCAACAAAAGGGGTTTCAACAAAGAGCGGCGGAGTATCTGCTTTTAGGTACCGTTAACGAAGAAAATGGCGTCGAGAGAGGTATCGGTTTGCTTGTAGTGGATGTGGGTACAAGGGTTTACCGGAGAGTCGGGTTGGCCATCTTTATGGATATGACACTGTGGACTGATGCGAAGCGACGGGGTGTTACGTTGGAGCCAAAGCTCAGTGGATAGGGTAGATGTTGGCATACACGCTTTCCCATTGACAGCGATATGAGATCCATAGTACTCGCATATTCGAACCGTTCTTCTTGCACATCTTGTAGCCCCTTTTAGTTCCTTTTGTTCTTGCCTTGGTGATCGAGTCATGCAATCGAATTGTCCTTGATATAGCCAAAAATCAACAATAACCGGAATGTACTGAGCTCTCACGCAGGCTGGACAAATACAAATCGCATTACGCCCTTCTCCGCGAGTAAGTCTTCTCCCTTCTCCGCGAGTAGGTCTTCTCCCGCGAGTGAATCTTCTCATGCCTTTGACAGTCATTCAACCTCGTAAATGGCTTGTCGCAAATCGAGCACTTATACGGGCGCTCCCCAAAATGGCTCCTCTCGTGGCCCTTCAGAGTAATCTTCCGCGTGAACTTCTTGCCGCACATGTTGCAGGCGAACTGCGACGACCCAGTCTTGGGACGCAGAGCCTCGAAGACGGATGGGCCTTCACCCAGGTCGGGGTGATATGTCCGCACGTGCCTTTCCTTATCTTTGTTGGTGACGAAACCGATCGGAGCAAGGCTACAGTTCACCGGACACAGGAACGGCCTGGCGTGGCGGCTGTCGTGCGTCTTGCGATCTTTCAGCCTGTCGTAGCCTTGGTAGAAGAACTTACAGAGCACGAGCTTGCACTTGAAGAGATTGGGGCCGTAGTAGTCTTCGATGGTGTCCTCAAGCCAGGCTTGTGAGCTGGGTCTGAAGTGCTGTTCTAGCGTGGATCGGTTTTCAAAGAGGGCTTTGTCGAGCTGAGCGATGCCAACGGTGTTGCGGGCATCGTATGGGCCTTTTTGATGGCTATAGATATGGTTCCACAACAACAGGAGATTTCCGTGGAATGAGAGCTCCGAGAACCTGGCGAGTTCGGAAGATATCTGTTCAAAGTCGTCGTGGGGCTCTGTAGTGAGCTCTCCGCGATGCGTTGCGATGAAATCATGCAACGCAGAGCCCAGCATCTCCTCGTACTTCTGGCCATGATGCCCATCGGAAAAGAGCCCGTGACACGCCGTAATAACCGTGGCAACATGGCTATGCCATTGAGAACAAGCATAATCTTGGAAAGAGAACCAACCCAGCTTGGCCTTGCCTCGACGTTCGTCTTCGTCATAGCCGTTTGACGAGCTTAGAAGACACAGATATTTGAGACAAAGCACGGTGAGCTCACACTGAACTGCCTGCTCATTGATATGCTCGTTCTGGACGATATAGCTGGTGGTTATTAGCCTTTGGAACACAGACCTGGAGTTCAAGAACACCCATTGCTTACCGCCGTGCTGTGGAATGAATGATCCGGATATGACCGCCATCCAGGACGTGCACCAATGACCCGAGGTACTTCTTGGCATTTTGCCGAAGCATCTTGTTGTCGAAGTCCACCTTTTGTTGAGCCGGATCATAAGACAGGATAGACTGCATTTCGTACCATTTCAGGGGCCGCTTTGCGCAGACCAGCCAGCCCAGAAGGAGCTTAGCCATCTGCCAATGGGTCTCGCCATGTGCCAGTTGCAATAACTCAGTCTTGACTGCGCCGAGAAGCTTCTCATATCTGAGAGTAGTTGTTAGTATATTTCAGTCTCTTCATCATGGACAGCAACCAATGCTAGACATACATCTGTGCGAGTTTCTTGGGTAGCATTTCCTCTTTGATCTTCTCTAGAAGCATCTCTTTTGTTGGCTGCTGTAGAAGATACTCGATGGCCAGGTGGGCATAGAGAAACATGTCTGCAGTCCTCTCAGTCAGTCTCCGTCAATGATTGCAATTATTGTACTTGTGGCGACAGACCTTCGCTCCGACGGCAGATAATGCTCTCAATTTGCCCCTTGTCGCCGTCAGAAAGGTTAAACCCACTGCTTGTGGCGCGTTTCTCGGAGAAGTCTGGGATCCTCTTCTTTACATAAGCCCTGATGTCGTCTGCGTTGTCGGTCGACTTGAGCTCCACGTAGGCGATATCTTCCGGCATGGCTTTGTCCTCGGATAGCTCCGGTACCGGCTGGCTCATGAATAGAACCCTCAGACGGCCGTGTTTGATCTCGTTGTCGCACCTTGTAACCTGCCGCATGAAGAAGTTTGCAGTTTTGCGTATTTCTTCCAGCGTTTCGCACTCGTCAAGTCCATCGATAATGATGTACTGCCTGGAGTTGTACTCAAAGAAGGCCTCGATGAGTGTTTGAGCAATTTCGGGGCTTGCCAGGTTGGCGCTTCCGCTTGACGCAGCCTTTTCGGCGCAGAAGGGCAAGAGGTCTTCGTTGGCATCGACCATCTGATGGAGAATGCCCTTGAGTATATCAAGGTAGGTGCGATTTTCGAGATCTTCTTCCTGACAGTAGAAGTAGTACGTCTTGCTCTCGCGTGGGATCGCGTACTTCTTTCTTTCTGTGCACAGCTCGTTCAGCTCATCTATGAGGAGCGATGCTAACATGGTCTTGCCTGTACCCTTATTAGCTCGGCCATTTCCTTTGGGGCGGGGGGAGATCATTACCAAATCCCTTGCTACCGTGGAGCCAGAGCATCGACTCTGGCGGTTGGTCTTCCTTCATCCAGTCAGTGATCTCACCATACCTCCGGAAGAGCCAACGGCCAGTGTCGGGACATATTCTCGCATCCCGGAACTTCCTATGAAGCAATAGCGTGTTTCTGGAGGCCGAGATCCATGCCATGACGTTTCGTTTTTCTTCTTCTTTCCTTGCTTTCTCCTTTTCCTCAAATTCGTCTTGACTTCGGTTGATATCATTGCGATAGCGGTAGAATTCCATCTTGACATCATCCCAGTCTTGAGTCATGTTCAGTCCAGACTCCACGCGTACCAATCCGACAGGTTGGTCCAAGTTCGGTTGAGGGTCTTGGAGAGATAATCCATGCGTCTGGATGAAGCGCAAATGTCTTTCCAGTGAGGCTGCCAGGTGCTCGAACGTATGGTCCAATGCTTTCCAGGCGGGTTTGTACAGTTTCTGCCACACTAGAGAAGGGATTAGTGTTTTTCATTCCCGTTACTACTCTGGGCTTAATCTCACAGTTGGAGGGGAGGGAGAAGAGCTTGTAGGCCAGCCGATGGAACGTAAGAACATCGCGGTAAACGTACACCAGACATCCTTCGCTCTCTGGCAGTGCGGTAAAAAGCTGTAGATAGTCGTAAAGTGGCGGTATTTTATTTCCTAGCCGCTCGTAGACTTCGAGTACGCTGTCAAATGCTCTATCGTTGAGATTTGTGGTCTTCATTCAAACCCGTCAACAATGTTGGCCTTCAATGATAAGTGTGGTAGGGGGACCGCTGGGCAGGCTGGTACATACCTTGAGGATAAATCGGACCGGACCCCAAACATAGGCCATGACCTTTGAGGAATGCTCGAATCTGATGGCAACCAGGACCTTCTCGAGATGTGCCATGCCAGTCAGGAAGGAATGTATCCTCTTCATGTTCATCATGGTCCGGGTTGTCTGTCGTTGTAACTGTATGACGTTCAAATCCTGCTGCACAGCATCGTAACTGCTTGATTCGAAGAATTCCTTGTCCCGGAACTTTAAGCAGTCCCATGTCTCGAAGGTTTCTGCAAGACCAAGTAACTTGTCCACGTCCATTGTGGCGCCTGCTCAGTCTGGGTTGCTTGACGCACAAGTAATGTGCAGTAGCTAGGTATGTACATCTAGGCTAGGGAGCTAAATTGCTCAGCAATTTCTGTAACAACCGTGCCAGACTCTTGAAAACATTAAATATTGATATTGAAGATGGCAAGGCTCGGCAGAGGAGTAGTCTGCTGGTGCACCGTATTTACGGCAAAGAGGCAACCAACTGGAGATTAGGTACCTAGGTACATACCAAGGCACTCAGCCTGCAGGTAGGGAAATGCATTCATGCAGGTGCTTCAGGCTGTGCCCACTTGATTGGAGATTCACGAGCCAAGTCACCAGGCAATGGCGTGCACTGCCTCCAGTCATAACACTTTCAACCCGACGCCATCAGTCATCCATCAACGCGAGGCCAGTTTCACAGCATTTTTAAGCCCTCTCGAGGCCATCTCCCCACCTTAAGTCAGCCCACCACACCCACCATGACACATCACCACTTTTAGTCCCACCTCGGTACGTGCATACATGCACACACATGGCATGGAATATCAAATTCCTGCTCTTGCAATACCGGGTCATGGCCCCCGACCGTGGCTTATGTGTTTCCCTAAAACGCACGGTACCTCTCCCTCAATGGCGACCTGAGTCTGCTCAATCCGCACTAGCCTCCTTTTGATCCGGAGCAACCTTGACTTTCTACTTGGGCTTCAGTTCCTCAACGTGCTGTTGCGAGGCCCTTTTCCACAATTGGCCCGTACCATGAGTTGGTTAACTCAACATCTTTCTTGTGCGGAGCCTTTGTCTCTGAAGTAACCCACCTAGTTACCGACTGGAGATACGTAAGGTACCTACCTCTAGGTAAGGTAAATAGGTACCTTAGGTAGTAGCAGAGTCCAACCCCGAGGGAGAGGTACCTCCCCAGGTAAAAGGATCAAACCTAATGCCTTTAGTGATATGTAAAACTGTGAATGGTATCGAAGTATGAGCCCTTGCAGCCGCTCCCAAGGATGTCCTGGAAACTGCGTGACGAGGAGGGTTCTGTAAGATAGGTACCGAGCTCACATGATCTAAAACGGACGGAGCTTGAAGAAATTTGAGAATACCTTGATATGACTGATGACAGTATCTGAATCGGCGTAGTTTATGGGAGTCACTTGTCCTGTATCTCGCACATTCCATGTACATGTAGGTATTGGATTGGCTGTTCATACACTGTGCCCGTTACAAAACAACGGTCACCTTGCGGGTGATCGACTTAGGTCCCAGGCCAGCTCGACTACGGAAGTGATTTTGACGGATACAAGGGCCGGCACGGGTAGGTTTAAGGCCGGTCGGCAACGGTTTCAAGAGACCGAGGAACCCGCTAGCGAGGTTTCAAAATACCTATCTATTCAGAGGGGACCATAGTGATCCGCGAGAGTTTTAGCGGTTGGGCCTCCTCCTGAAGCGCTGCAAAGAGGTCGCCAGTCTCGCCAACGGTATGATGGTGTCAAATCCTTCTAACGTTCCCTGTAGTGCACCCGGATCATGTTCTCAATGTCGTTCATTTCGTACTGTAACGCCAAAATCGCTTAGTCAAAACGAATTTCACGCAACACCCGTTTCCGCCTGGCCCGTACCTCGCTCAGTTGGTCAGGAAGGAGGAGCAGCCAGTGCTTTTCTTGGATCTTCTCGCATAGGTTAGGTTATTCATTCTGAATCCTGATAGGTATGAAAACGGAAGGGAGCAAAAGTAGAAAAGAAAAAAGGGAGGGGGGGGGAGGAGTCAATACCCTAACTCTGTAATTGCCCATCCCGTACCTCGAATCCAAAATCTCCTTCAGCTTTCTCTGATGGCCATACTTCTGTCGAAGAATGTGTCTGTAAAAGCCTTGCGAGTCAGCCATGGTGGCGGACACTTGGGTGGTGAATTGAATAACTTGGTCACTTAGAGACCTGGCGTGAAGCCTGACATTGAAGTGTCACTGGACGGAAGAGATGCCCGACGGAAAAATAAGCCACCTTGCCAAGTTTTAGTATCACGTGGACATCCGATTTGGCTGCTTTCCCCCGTCTTCTGATTTGAATATGCTCTCTCGATTGGGTCCTATCATGTCTGGGTACCTACTACAAAAGAATATGCCGTGAGAAGACCTCTCTCAAGGCCCACCCAATGAACATTCGGACCTTTATGAGACTGATAGTGCGGAAGTTTTGTTGCAACCACTAGAGGCGCAGAGATTATCGGGAGAGACGGGGCAACCGAATCAATACTCGCTTCTGTGTTGCACTTTGTGTGTCCTGCTGGGTCTGCTCATGCCACGCCCGAGCTTGCAGGAGGGAACCTGACGGCCAATCAACAACTGAAACGTGATGAGGCGGTGTCCTGCACCCATATGCATTCGGCAGCCATCCCGCCACCACTTTGGGCAAGCCGTTGCCACCGCTAGGTTTTTCTTAGCGTGGCTGAGTGTCTAGCAGGATATGTAAATGGCTTTGCATCACACCCGGTCAAGCCGTTAAGTTCATCCTGAACACCATAATCGGCGGCACTTTTGAACCAGGACTTGCTTGGACAGATATCGGAGGAATGGAATGGACTGATCCTAACCCCGCGTTTACCGCGCATGATCTGTCAACATTTGATTATGATGCAGTACAAAGTACGGAAACTCTCGTGGAGTTTATGTGGAAAAGTGACGCCGACAAGGTCCTGAATCCGCCCAAACATTCCCGCCGGGCTCAAGTTAACCCCCTACCCTAGTATCCGGGACGAGAATTCCTGAGCGCCCCCGATGGTTACTGTTCAAGGCCCGGGTGTGATCTCAAAGAAAAAGCGGAAATGGAAGTGGATATGACCATGGCAGCAAGTCTTGGACCGGGAATGGTAATGGATGACCCAAGATCCTGTTTGATCCTTCCCTCTGCAATGTATCTGAGTGCCTAGTGGGACTCCAGCTAAGAAATTTATACTATAGGCTTCCCGGATGCTACAGATGCTGCATAAAAAGTTGGGGAAGGTCATCCCAGGTGTTTATCTGATGTATTTATCTCATCTTGCGTTGTACGTCACCGCCTGGTACTGACACTATTGTAGAGCCTGTGGCAGAGCCGCTAGAGTTTTCGACGAACAATCCTCTCGAGTTTCAGACTTGCCTTTCTCCAGAGACAATTGGCAAAGAATTGCTAAGCTCTTTCACATCCATCGAAATATTACCCGAACTATCCTGAGAGATGTAGCCCACTTCTCCTCGGTCCGCCACACCCCCGAGAACTCTCGAGCACTGGAGATATGTGAGTTGATGAAATACCTTTATACGAGTACGAGTAATCCTTATCATCAGCTCTTCTAACCACATCTTGCACACGCTTTAAAGGCTTCACCGCAAGAATGACTGCGGCGTTACCCAACGATCTCGCCTTGTCCACAACGTACATTCCATCGACCGGCGTCTCGTACTCGGTGGTGTACGGCTGCAACGACAGCCAGATGGCTGAAATTTGGCGGCGGGTGTGTTTGGCCGGGGATCACACAGACCATCCACTTCTGGTAGTAGGTATATTCATGGAGCTTGACCGCGAACGGCTCATCGGCAGGGCGGAAAGCTTGGCCGACAAGTTTACCCTCGGGTCCGACATACTCGAGAACAAATCCTGGGATTCCACCAACCCCAAGATGCAGGGTTACCTAGAAGTGTGTCTGCAAAGCCGCACTCTGATCGATTACATTCGGGCGGCCAAGCGGCAGCTAGCCAAAGTCTTGGTTGAGATCGATGGCTTAGAGAGGTTATGGCGCCAATCTAACTTGAAGCCTGCCGTGTCAAAGGCTAGGCTAAAAGCTGAGAAGGGAAAACGACAAAAAAAGATCTCAGGAATGCTACAAACGGGGGAAAAAATGAAGCAGAGAATCCGTGAGATGCTGGACGAGTATGACGACAAGGTGGACGAATGCAAGAAAATGGCGCAGAACTTGTCTCTTGCGATGCAATCTGTAAGAGCACCAAATTGCCCCTGCTAGCCTAAACGCTTTTGCTAACCAGAACTCATAAACCGCAGGGATGGAACCAAATTGCCCGGGAGGACTCCATCACCAACACACGTATCTCCAAAGCCAACACCATGATTGCGTTGGAAACCAAGAGAGAGAGCGCCCAGATGAGGTCCATTGCCCTCCTCACTATGATATACCTCCCCCTATCATGTGTGGCAGTACGTCCATCCCCGAGTTCCCCAACCTCAGATCATGCCCAAATCGTTAACGAAGTTGTCCACAGTCCGTCTTCTCTACCACGCTATTCAACTGGAACCCTAGCGATGGGGAGCCAATTGTTTCCAAATACATATGGGTTTTACTGACCCTCGCTCTGGTGTTAACATGCATCACCGTTCTGGCCTGGCATTTCACCACCAACCGTGAGAAGAAGCGCGAGAGAAAGAGGAGCGGAACTTTCGATACGGTTCTGTCGGATGCCGTATGAGTTTGGTGAATACAGCAGGTACCTGCTTGCACTGCAAAGACCTGCCGTATCCGGGGGCCGATGGTCGACGACGCGTTGTCAATGTACCACGACGGGGGTGTCCGAAATGATTTATCACACGATATCTGCCAGCAAGGCCATACGTGTGTGCACTGCCCGGGCTTAGTGTGAGGAACGGACATGGGCGTACCACTTGAATGGCGGTCGGCTCTGTACCCGAGAACGGGTTGGTCTTCATGTTTTCCTAACGTCAGGCGTGCGGAAGCGCCGGGAGCGTCAGCGACAAACACTGCCTGACGCTCGCCACGTTCTTTCTCGTCTGTCTGAGCTTAGCCCTTTGGGATAACGTGTCTGGTGATAGCACAAACGAGAAGGATTGGTAACCAACATGTGGGAAACCATGTAGTCCCAGATAAAAGTGGCATGTTGCTCAGTCCCGCCATATCTACGCGGACACGTCAGGTGAGTAAGGACCTAACCACCAGACTCGACACGCACCCAAGACACGCATTTGAGCTCCACTGGACTAGCACAGGATCGAATGGAAACGTGACACCTACCGCAGCCCAGCCATCTGTTTCCCTGAGCTCCAGGGCCTATTGTTAGCGACGGGTTTGGCATGGACGAAACAGCCCAATGCAGAGATGAGATGCAACAACACATGTGCTACCCGAGCTCCCGAAGTACTCACAAAAGTGCAATTACTGAAGCGCCCATCGGAAAGGGGGGCGGATGACGAACCAATCAACTGCCTTTATCCGTACTGATATCTTCATCTTGATGGTATACGATATTTTGTGTCACGCCGAGACTGGAATTTTGTTTGCGAACCAAGATGTTGAGTGGTAAATAAGGCGAACTAGCGGAGTTGAACGGGGGGAATAAGTGAGAATAAGAAGCCACGCCGTATGCACAACGCCCTTGAACATGGCACTCTTCCAGTCTCCCAATCCCATTCCGTGTCCAAATTGCTAGCCCCCGTCTTTGCGCCCGCACAACTGGTTTCGAACCCCCGCCGCCACCATGAGGGCCGAAACAAAGCGGCCAGTTGTTCTCAGTAAGGCCTGGGTCGTGGCCCATGGCCGGCCGAGTGGCGAGTCCCAAAACAAGGAAAAGCCCCCGCCATCTGGTTATTTCCATGTGGGTATTATTGCTTCTGCCGTGTCGCCTTCCTCGATTCGCTAATCACCCACGTGCCGGGGCGATGGTGATCTTGAAAAGATCTCTCCTTAACTGTAACGAAGGTCCCATGTTAGCTCCTGCGCGTACGGTGTTAGGGTGAGGTCATGGAGGCGTGCGGTGGATCTGGGAAAGAACATACTTGGACAACGTATCGGTCTGTGTAATTCACCTCCAGGTACTGCTTCAACGCGGCAGATGTTACCCTGCTTGCGGGGACTATGGCAGTGTCGTGGGTCACCCATTGGACCCCTGGAATAGGAGAAGGATAGGGGCTACCGAGGTAAGGTTCTGCTGTCGACGTTGCCGCTGTTGAGATTTTCATGGTGGCGGTCGGTTTTGTGTCAGACAGATGTAATGATGGGACTTGAACGGGCTGAGGATGGGAGAAAAGGAGAGGGTGGAGAGAAGCCCGGATTTGACCCCCCTACCTAGTTATACGAAGACTGGGAACGCCCCATCCCGCGCGTCCTTCGTGGCCCTCGCCCCCCTCCTCCCACTCCCCACCTGGCCCGAGGCTAAGAGACCCCGGCGGTACGGCTGTTGACCGCTTGTTGGACATTCGCCGAGTTGTGCAACGAACTGGATTGCATACCTCACTTTTCAAAACAGTTGAGTGGCCGTCAGTGGTGCTTGGCTGACTGCCGTTACTCGAAATGCCGACATTGGATAGGTAGTTACCTTGTCTGAGGCCCCCGAAGCGACCTGGTTTGTTCACCTCAAGTGCCCTTTCTGCGGTGGCGCGGCGTTGCTGTCCCGAGTGCCAACAGCTGGGGGCGTCTTGGAATTACGCCACCCACCCAGAACTGGGCCGCCTATTGCGACTCAAATCGCTCAGGTCACCTTAACACGACGCAGTAAAATGTATACTCTGTCGTTGCCCAGGTAATGCCTCGTGGGTTGACTGGAAGAGTCCCGGTCTGTTCTCAGCGCGCGATGAGTTTCGGTATTTTGTATTCGAATATTATTCGACCTAGCTAGAGCCTTGCACGAAGTGAGGGCCGAATGTGGCGGCTCTGGGGGTGCACCTGCAGAGCCTGCAGGAGGCGAAGCCGCGAACCACACGGCAGCTGACTGTGAATCCCGTACATCATTGGATTGCGCCACCACTTGAGTGAGGCCGACGGCAAGGCACGCAGTCGTGAAATCTTTCCATTGGCCACTGAAAGTCACACAAAGCGACGAGGTGGTGTAAGCGCCGCGAATCCCGCGATATATTAGTGCGAGGGCGCCATGCTGTGGGCATGTGGGATGACACGCATAACCCCCTGATGGGTGCAGCCCACAGGCGGGTATCGAAGCGGTGAGAATCTGTGGGTAGCGCTTTAAGGATAGGTACCTACCTGTAGTGTCGGTTGAGACCACCTTACCTGTATTATTACAGTCCAAGGTTCAGGTGTAATATCCTTAGGTACCTAGTTGTAACTTGTCAACATGTTATTATTACCTACATCGGCTACTCATAACCATCGACAGCAATACTTGATCACCGTCCAAAATCCCTAAGCTACGTTGGGTGGGTGACTTGCTGTTACGTACAGCCGCCCCTTTTAGGCTTCGGCTCAGAGGGCCGTTGCCCATCAGTACCTGCTTGCCTACCCACCTACCAAGTAACCTTCGGTAGGTTGTAGGTTAAGCAGGTATTCGTGCCTATCTGGGTATCGACTTAGGTCGAACTCCATGCCCATAATACTAAATCTGAAAAGCGAAGCTTGAAGGCTGAAAACGCCTGGTTTTGTAGGTACCGTCACCTTATCACAGTTCTTCGAGAAGTTGGAGGGGTGACATGCCAGGTTCAAGGCTGCCTGAACTATCTAATCCTTGCAGTTCTGCTCGACCGACATTCTGTTTTGGGATTCGGCGGCAAGTGAGGGGAAAGAGCTGAGACTCGCCGGCAGCGCCATTGGTTATCACCCCAAGCCATGCGTGACAAGCCTCTGCAAAACCCGCCGTAGGCTGGATAGGGCACAGGAACCAGAGTCTAAATGAAGTAAATGTAAATATCTCAAGGCGACAGCCAGCCTGATACCATGGGCAGCCCGGCCTCGCTTATCTAAAGCTGAAAGCATGCCGTTGCGTTTTATTTTATCAAGCAGCCCCCCTCCTTTTGACGCTCCTTTCCTCCATGATATGTCGTTTACTTGGTTTTCTACCTTGACCTTGAAATGTTCAAGGACGCTTCCCAGCTCCGCTGCCAGATTCGCCGAACATGGCCGAAACGATGGCTCTGGGCATACCAACACCAACACCGAGCCCCAATCAGCTACAGACCACAACACCGCTGGGGGTAAACGGCTTCGTGATCGATGATGCGAAACGGGTCGAAATCATTACGGATCGGGGCGAAGCAGCCCATCGCAGCCGCCCCGGGTACGCCCACCGGCAAGACATCAGGACTGACAAACTGGGGACAACAGACTCCATCAACATAACCAATCTCGCGGATCAGTTGTACGAAGACCGGGCTGTCTTCGGCCCCGGTCGCGAGATCTGGTTTATCCCTCGCGCATCCTTCGACGCGATTCTCACCCCTGAAGTGATCGTGCAAGTTGTCAACCAGCTGGCGTGTTATCAAAACATGAACCCCGATGAGCGAATCCAGGTGGCCAGCGATATTTACTACGGAAAGGATCCGAGCTCCGGAGTCCCTAGGCCGCCTTGCCGCAAGCTGTTGGCCACACTGATCGGTGCCCGGGCCGACGGAACAAGCCTTGAGACAGTCGAGGAAATCAAGACACATATGGACGAAGGAATGAATGACGACTGCCTCCCACTATTTTTCGACGGTGACAATCAGCTTAAATGTCGACTCCATGGTCAGAATCACCCCTTCATTAACCGCCCGAAACGTGGTAGAGGACAGTGGAAAGAGAGTTTCGTGCGCTGGTCCCGAGCCCTCACTGCGCCTTACGTCCTGTGGGACGAAGCCCCGGAGAGCCGGCACCGACATTACGTGATGCTCGACGGGGGGCCTCTTCCCATGGCACCGGTCTGGGAGGAGTCAGTACCACACGTACACCACGGCGGCTTCGGCGATGTCCTCAAGGTCAAAATACAAATTGGGGACCGGAACTTCCAAGGCCCTAGAGTGCGTTACCCGCCGAGGCAATGTTGTTTCCCTCAATGGCCAAGCTAATCGTATCCTTGTAGGGCGAAGACAGCTTCTTTGCGCTGAAGAAGCTGAAAGAAAACGGCGACGCCGCGCGGGTAGAGTTCGACCTCGAGGTGCGCTCCCTCATCTTTACCGAGAACCGGACCAACAACGTCCCCGGGCCGAACGATACAGAAACGAAGAAGCACGTCATCCAGCTTCTGGCCTCGTTTGAAGTCTACGACTCGAATTTGAAGCACCCCACATACTACCTCCTATTTCCCTGGGCCGACGGGAACCTGGAGGAGTTCTGGAGGCGGCATGATAAGAAATACTCCCCACGGGATCAGGGGCAAATTAGCTGGACGATTGATCAGTTCTACCATCTGGCCAAGGCCCTCCAGTGCCTCCACAACGACCGACAAGTCAACTTGTCCCAAAGGACCGATTCTAACCGGTATGGTCGGCACGGGGACATCAAGCCCGGCAACTTCCTCTTCTTCCGCGACAGCGATGGCGTCGGGGTCAATCTCGTGCTGGCCGACTTCGGCCTGGGCAGGCTTCACAGCAAGGCCAGCAAGTCCAAGCAGTCCCCCAACGTACCGAAGACGGCTACATACGCAGCCCCCGAGTATGACATAGACGGAGGTCGCCTCTCGCCGCGGTCCGACATCTTCAGCCTCGGCTGCGTGTTGTTGGAGCACATGGTGTGGTTTTTCCACGGCCACAGCGCCGTGGAAGCCTTCACCGACGAACGAATGGCCGTGGATCACTACGGCTTCGAGTCTGATACCTTCTGGAAAGCGTCGGACCCGGACGGAAAATCCGCAGAGATCAAGGACACGGTCAGCAAGCGGCTTGCGGCACTCAAGAAGCGCGACGACTGCGTGGAGGCTATTGGTGAAATACTGGAAGTGATCGAGAAGAAAATGCTCCAGGCTCGGCCGGCGGATAGATGCACCTCACTCAACCTTGTCCTGAACTGGACAAGATCCGACGCCACTGGGCGCGCCGAGACTCGGACTACGCCTCCCGGGCGTGGATAGAAGGTCCGGTCACCCCCCCTCACCCCACCCGCCACACCCCCTTACGGCCTGATCCCCACTTGGCATCAGATCATATCCGACTG